ATCACTTGAGTCAATAAATTTTAAAACATCAATTGCCATTGAATTTCTTTTTGCAATGAAATATGGTATTTTATTCCTACCATTATCCTTGAAACTACCACCACAAGTGAAACAATAAATTCGTCAAAATCTAAATAAGCAAAACAGGTGGACCATTTGTGATTCCTTTTGATATTAAAAGTTGTTTATTTATTGGTTTTAAGTACCTGCTCCTCATTTACAAGTTTCTGTGAATTCTAAATTTCATACCTTTACGTGATTGACACAATACTGTCAATTCACATAAAGGTGTGAAATTTCAAATTCACCATGTAATGTGTAAAGGAAGAGATTTCTTTATTTCCAAACAGAAAGTTCTAAAATTCTTATACAGTAGTAACTTTATTTTCCTTTTTAGAGAATTTTTTACTCTTTGATGTTCTATTATATGTTCAATCTTTATTTTTAAATTTTGTATTTATGTTATTTTTCAACTGTAAGTTATTGATCAGTATTTGGAACATGGTTGAATTTAAATTTTAAAAAACTATTCTATTATTATATGTTCATTCCTGATGATAGCTGAAAACATTAGTAAAATTTAAAAATTTTACATTTATTCCAGTTAAGAAATTTTATTACTACTGTATTCATAATTTTTAATAAGCAATTTATTATGAAATATAATACTGTGTAATAAAATCGCTATTTTGTTTTTATATTGACAATATGTTTAAATGTTATTGTTAAAGAACCAATAATGCTAAATGGGCATTCATTGTCTCAATGTTTACATAATCATCAATTAATACAATATAACCAAGAATAAAATTCAGTATTGAAAAACTAAGTTTATTTTATATCAGAAACACTTGCTGATGAAAGAATAGAGGATAGAAATTCCATAGCATATATTGATATAATCTGTTTAGTATAAGCCCAGAATTTTAGTACTCAGTTGTATTATGCTTTTTCTTTGTCTCCCAACAAGTGTGATATAATGAGGGGCTATTATAATCAGAAACAGCTAAGAATTACAACCGACAATAATAAAATAAAAGGTGAAGATTTAGGAAAAACTGATATTTTAAGAAGGAGCTTCTAAGCTGTGTCATAACCCTAATTATTAATGCATTCAACAGTAATGGCTTGTTTATAAATTTGCATAATTGTTAGTTCAAATATTTAACTGCTTGAAGATTGTCTTGTAATTTATTTAAAGTAATAAAATAATTGCTTCACTGAAGTGATATAATCTATATTTCATATTATTTGAATATTATTGGAATAAGTCAAACAAACTATACATATCCAAAACATTTTTTAAATGGATGATCTAGGACAGCAGTTCCCAACTTATTTTTATCTTGGAACCCTTTTCATCTTAGTAAAAAATGTTGGAACCCTGGCAGTTTTTAATGATCATAGATAACACAGCAAACAGAAACACCAAAAACAGATTAATAATGAAAAGCAAATATTATTACAGTGGGTGATCAGTTAACGAACAGATCAGACAACGAACACATGTTCAGATAACGAATGCTTTACTGAACAAACATAAATGGAAGCAACGGAAAATAAGAATACAGACTTATTTCCCCCTTGTCTTCAGGTAACAATTTGAAAACCTTTCGGAGCGCGGGAGACGTCAACATCGATGCTCAACCCGATACCGATAATTGTAATTCCAGCTTTTCGTTTACCTTTCTGACAAATAATTTTTTATAGCATTCGCGAGACTGTCAGACGGGCACTTGTTAAGTTTTCGTCAGGATTTATTTATGAAAGGTGAAAGTTTAACTGTCCTATCGGATATTCGTTAACGTTTTAATACCAAATTTTGAATTTCACCCGGGCCTTGCATTTAAAAAATTTTTTGTGGGCTAGTTGATTTCTGTTCTCTGAATTTTGTAAGTGCTTTTATGAACTTTTTATTTAAAAAAGAAACTAAGAAACTGATAATATTATGGAGCCTAAAAAGAGGAGTGTCAAGAACTGTGTTCACCATAGAAACCAAGTAAGAGATAATAGCCAAGGTAGAAAGTGGGCACAAGATGTCTGATATTCAGTGCTGTAACTAGCTATTCCTGTGCCCTGTGCAAGAATTTGCATTTAGGTCCCTTAATTAATTAGGTTTGGAAAAATAATAAAACAAATACATGCATTTTGGGCCCCCCCTTTCAAGTGGGCTCTGTGTGGGTGCACCTGTTGCATCTACTTAGTTATGGCACTGCTGATATTGCTAGGCAGTATGGCTCAAACAGGTCTACAGTAGGCACAATCTTGGCTATGAAAGATATATTAACAAGTCTCAAGCTGCTAATGGAGTAATGAAAATCACATCTGAGAGCTCATAATGGAACCTGAAACTGATCTGACAACAGAACTCCGAGAACTCTCAAATGAAGAATACCAAGAAATTAGGAGAGATATGTTTTCTTTTGAAAAAGAGGGAGGATGTCAGAACAATGATCATCCAAGTGGCATCCAAACCAGAATAAGGTTAATGGGGTTGGGGATCTCTACAATTACAATACTATTAGTTAGTTCCAAAAAATCATGAAGAAAAGAGAAAAACAATCAACATTGGACAGATTCTTTAATCCCCACAAATGGAAAAAACATGACTAATAAAAATGCAAGACTGCATATATATGTATTTTTACTATTACATATAAATAAATGTAGTAAAAAACTATATATTTTTTAATTTTTGGAGTCTCTGGAATGAATTAATCAAATTCCCATAAAAGCCTATGGTAAATTGATGATCAGTTAACAAACAATTCGGATAACGAACAAAGTCTTGGAACGGATTATGTTCGTTAACCGATCACCCACTGTACTTAATTCAAATTGGTCATTAATGTGAAGGGTTAATTAAACTCTTTTCTTTCAATATTTTAAACAGTGCTAGTGTCTGGATTTGTACTTTTGTTTGTATCTGCCCTTTCAGTCTCCTTGTCACTAGAAATATTTGGAGTACTTGTCATATTTTTCTTCAAAATTATTCTCTTAGCCAATGCTCCATGATTTTTTAATTTGGGGTATACACAAAACTGAAAGCACTATAAATTTATATATAATTCCCACTATATTTTTATATATAAAAAATATTTAAAATATCACAAAATGATTACAATGCAAAACTAATAATCTTTGACTGATATGCCTGCTTGTATGCCATACTATTGCATTACAACACACTACAGATGATGGGACATTAATTAATTTAACACCTTGGCGACAAGTGAAGCTCGTCTGATGTGAGTGTCCTGTCACTAGTATTATAGTATGTACAGTACAGTATCATTGGTCATCTGACTAGCCACTCCCATCATTAGATTCAATAGACTTGCACTGCAGGTAGACAAATTAAAGCATATTTAATGATTGTGTTATTATTTATATGTTGGTTATATTTTTTAAATGATTTTTAGCTTTAGGTTAAGTTTTACTGTTTTTATGGTTTTCATTATCTTGACAAAAATTATATCATGACTTTAGTTTGTTAAATTATCGATAAATTGGTCCCCACTGTTTATAAAGCTATCAATAACTCTAGAATGTGTATAGGACATCATAAGACTCTATCCAAGACTACAACAATTACATCTCACATCCCAAATCTGCATTGGCACATACATCACTCTACTCAATGGATTTTATTGTGGTACCCAAATTTTATTGCATCCACGATAAAATCATCCAAATCTCAATAAAAACAGAATCCAACTTTAAATATCTGAAGACAAAGTCTGCCCAAATAGAGACCACCATTTATCTTCAGATATTTAACTATAATAATAGCCATTGGATGAAAATCTACAAACAATCCAACTCAAAAGTTAGGAACCTGTGATCTAGGAAAATGTATTTGTTATTTCAATGTTGTAAAATTAAGTTGGAATTTTATGTAAGATAAGAAAATAGCAGAACTTGATTAAAAATGAAATGAAAATTATTACAATATGAAAATTTTGAAACCTATTTCACAAACATATATTTATAAATTAATAAGTAGCTCAATTCAAAGTCTTTTTCACTTAAATAATCTTTCTTATACTAGTATAATTATCCAATGCCTCCTCTATTCTATACAAAAAATCTTACCAGTAGGATTCATGATTCTTTATGTAATCTCATTGGCTACATGCTCACCAATAAGACAGAATGTTGAGTATTGGTCAAAATAACAAAAAATGACAGTTAGCAGTCACATGTTAGAATAAGTGTGAAACCTCTTTAATAATTAATCACTGACAAAACCCAGTGTTTTAGTTGTTCAGCATCATACAGTTGGCCACTTATGCCAGTATGAAACTAGGATAAGTGGCCTTTTAGGAAAATTTTATAGTATTTCTAGATCAGTGTTTTTCAACCTTCTTGAATATGCGACCCCTTTACAAATTAAAAAATTCTGGCGACCCCTCCCCTAGGGCCATATTAAAACTATATCAGTGATTTTAAAAACTATGTATTTAATTTTCTTTCTGTTGAGACAAATTATTGTTGATTAAAATGAAAATTTCGGAAGAATCGACAATAACTTAACACACAAAGTATGAAACTTCCTTTAATTATAACATTGGGGGCACAGGGAGCTATTGACCTTTTTTTTTATTTTTTTTAGGATCAGAATTTTCAGCTTCTACTTTCTATTTCTTTTTGCAAATCAGCTCAACACTTTTTCTGCAAATCAGCTATCATTTTCTGGGGTGGGCCGTAATTCTCACTGAAATTGTAGTTTTTTTAATGTAGTGTAGGACCTAAAAACACTTGTCTTTCTCTTTTACTTGCGACCCCCAGGTTGAAAAACACTGTTCTAGATATTCATATTTATCAATAAATCTTTCAATACTTTAATTTATGAAAATATTGTTTAAATATTTTAATCTATTAAAAAAAATTTAGAATTTTAAGTAATATTTTAAATATATATAATAATAATTATAATAATTACAGTTATACATATCAGATATAAATAAAAAATTTTTAAATTTATTTATTTATTTTACCTGGCAGTTTGGTTGACATTTGATGCCATTTCATTATGAAGCTGAGTTTGAGGACTTGCTAACTGAGAGGGTGTGGGAGGACAAGGATGAGAAGGTGCAATTTCTCCTTCATCTTGAATTGGACTAGTAGCTGCTGGAGGAGAAATACCAGTTATAGAAAGATTATCTTCTGTTGGGCTAAACGGGCCATCTTCTGGAATTGGACTAACAGTTAAACCAGGTGAAACTGGAGGTTGGGAACTATCTGGTGTTGATAAGAGACTTTGATCACTTGGACTATAGGGAATAATTGATTCAGCATTTAATTCAGCACTGATATCACATGGTAAATGGGATGAGGAGTCTCCAGAAGGTATATCAATACTCAAATACCTATCATTTTCTCCGCCAGCAGAAGTTAAGCTTTCTGAGTCAGATATTCCAGATAGTATCCTAGGTGGAGGTTCTTCAGCCGTTACTAATTCTTCATTTTCACTTGCACTTAGTGTTTGAGAAGAAGGACTAGTTGAAGGTGAGGGATCTGCACCTGGAACACAAACATTATAACTACTAGGTATTTCAATGCAACTATCCAGCATCATTTCATCACATTCTGATATGGGTAAAGAATTTGAAAGATCATGAAGTGCCAAATCATGATTAATATCATGCTCATCAGATGAAAAAACTTCTATTTCTGCATTTGTTGATTCATGCCTATCTATATCATATTCTGGTATTGATATTTCAGGACAAAACAATAACCTATCATCATCACCTTCTAAAACAACTACTTCACTTAAATTTTCCAAAGAAGGCACTCCTTCCTGGATGGAATCATGCTCAGGTGTTGCAAGTGGAGCTGTCCTATTTTGAAGGGCACTATCATCATCAGGTTCATTTATTAATGGTTCTTCATTTCTTACTTGTTCTGAAATTAGTGGACCTACAGACTGATTTAAACACATTTGTTGAGGCATTTGTAATACAGCTGGTCTCTGTATTCCACTTGATGTTCTCTGTGGTAATGCAGGAGGAGGGCTTGAATCTGCAACTGATAGTGCTGATGTTGAAGTAGATAAACTATCATCAGAATCCACTCCTGAAGGTATTACATTATCTTCTTGAACAAGCTGACCATTTTGTTCATCGGTATCAACTATTTCTAACATGAAACTATCTTCTGGTTTTAAGTGTCGTGGTTTTGGTGGAGGTGGTTGATTATTTGCTTCTATATGAAAAGCTTTGGTACGTTCTAAAGGTCGATGGCTTTGATGTTTTTGCTTAGGTGGTAATGGTGGAGGTATGTCAGACTGTTCTGTAGTTGGCTGAGTTGGTGCTGTTAAAACTTCACTCGCACTCTGAAGCACATATTCTAAATTTGTGAATGCCATGTTAGTACTGCTACCAGTACTAGAAGATCGTTGGGGAGGTTGTTGTGATGATCTTCTCTGAGGTGGAGCCACACCAGCAGCACTACTGATACTGTGTTCACTTCCAGATCTTACATTCCGCCCATGAACTTCTCTCCTTACAGGTTCTCCAGATCGTTGCTGTCCAGAATTACCACTACCTGTTCCAACATTTCCATTAGGAAGATGAGAAACCCTACATACAACAGGTGGTTGCTGATGTTGTGGTGTTGTTGGGACGGAAGACCCTTGATTCTGAGCTTCAGGTAAATCTGATACATAAATTGGATTGTGAACTTGACGTATATGAGTCCAGGGGTCAACTATAAGTGAATAAAAAATTGGAAACTTTAATTTTAAGTTATTTAAATTATAAAATAAAATAATTCAATTAAAAACTATAAATAGTCATAATTTTCTTCCTCAACAAGGCTAATAATGATCCTTCTGTCAAGAAAGTTTTTATCTTTTTCTTAGCAATTTGAAAATACTGAATCTTCAATATGTAGTGTAAAAATAACAGTTATTTATAAAACACTGTGTATAATTTCAAATGTTTAAATAATTTTTATTTAAATATAAAACTTTTTACTTCATCAGTTTAACTACATTCTCTTTTTCCAGGAAATGACTATTATGGAGTCCACAGAAAACAGGTTAAAAAAATTAATTTTGTTTTTGTTTTTGTTTGTGTGAAGACTAATAGTCTCAATGTTTATGGATTAAAATATATATTTTAAATAAAAATTTAAAATAAATAAATTATTTTGTAGTACTTTAGAATTTGTGTGTGTTTGTACTATCATGTATGCTAAAGTATTATATAGTTTTAATGAAATGTTTTTTTAAAGAGTTATCTATGAAACTATAATACAAAATGTTCATAAAAGATTGTCAAGGTTTTAATTTTGTTTAAGCATGGTATATAATAACAAACAACTGAATGTTAGTTAAATTGTACTAAATCAACCTATACAAAAGCCAAGAATCCAGCAAAAATTTATGTGAACATTTTTGTCCACATTCCATTGGACATCATCAGGCTGTAGAATTGGAAATGGAGCCATGCTGTTTGAATATTCAAATTCAATGCATTGTTGTTCGTTGACTGTTGGAGATGTTTCTGATCTGGGTGATCACCAATTAGAGGAAATATTTCCCATATGTATCCTTGGTTTACAGATGGTGGAGGAAAAATTTCCAAAGGTTGACAATAAGGAACATCCTTATTCATGTCATTGTCCTAAAAGTTAATTACTTTCTTATTCAATGCTTCCTTGTATACTTCAAGTAGTTTGAGGTAGCAAAGTTGCACTTTGTCAGACATTTGGTAAATGATCCAGTCTTATCCAAATAGACCACATCCAGGTAGGAAGCATAAAATGACAATGCAGTGGAAAACCAACTCCTAAAAATGTCCAAGTGATGTCCTTTTATGTAGAATTTTGTCTGCCTGGTTGTTCTAACATACTCAATTCATTTATGGCTTGAAGGTTGATCAAGGGGATGGAGTATACACACTGCAAATGTTGCCAATCTGGCAGTTCTTTGGCATTTCTGAGATGAGAAAAGGTGTGTGACTTCTTTTGTCCAATGATGTCCAATGGAATGTGGATGAAAATATTTGCATAAGTGAAATTTTTGCTGGATACTTGGCTTTTGTGTAAGTTGATTTAGTATAATAACAAACTTTACATGAAATATTAAGCTGCTTTTTTAAGTTTTTACCTTAGACATTACAAGTGCTCAATGTGGAAATCTTTGTAACATGACACGTCCAAGAACTGTAATACACTTCTTGTCTAGTCTTGTATTCAATCATATGCATACTCTAGGAAATAAAAATATGATTTTCTATAGATTGCCCTGTTTCTAATTGATGGTGTAATAAGTCTAGCGGAAAAGAGAAGCTGTCATAGAGCTCATAAAATTGAATGACACATCCAGCCTATAATCACATTCCTGCCACATTCTGCGTAACATGTCAAGTCTGATGAATTCAACAGCTGCAACAATCCTATGCCTCAGCTCAGGAAGTTGGCAGGTAGCAATGGCATGTATACATGATCTTTAACATATTCCTACAAGAAGAAATTACATGGGATGATGCTGGTGGACCTTAGAATCACTGAAGGAAAACCTTTAACCTACTCCCTGGTATTCTCAATATATCTCGGGTCGCAACCTAACGACCTTAACCTATGGACCAGAGATATCTCATTTCAGCATCGAAACATTTTTGAAACAAGATGTCGCTAGTCATTATAATTTTTATATTAAAACTAACTTCTGAAAGATAGTTCATAAATGCTACAGGCTCTAACACATATAAATCATGTTAACAATACACCCTCACTTGCAGTCACTAGTGATATGTTTAGTTTAGTTTACAACTGACATAACACAGATTTTTTGGACTACGCACAAAGCATGCTGGGGTACTTTTCACTTTGTCATCTGAGACACATAAATGTCCTTTAGTTGAGTCTCATCATATCACCTGAAACTGTTCATACCAATGCCAAATGCTGTTGTCAAATGGAAGATAACTTCCAAATTGTCACCAGAAGGTATGCTGCACAGAAACTACAAAGCACACTTTGCAAACAGCAAGGCACAGAATGCTTTCTGCTTGGGAATTGTATAGTAACACCACCACCACATGATAGACAAAATGTTCTCCCTCTGTCTGATATAGCTACTCTTTCATCATATATGAGAAACATACCTCCATGGGTCATTCATGTAACCATGCTGCCATGTGAAATCCTGATGACCTTTTATGAACACCCTTCTAAGAAGAAAACTATTTCTTCATTCACAGTCATTTCAACTTATCTAACTTATTTGATAAAAATGTTTAAAAAGATAGTTTTATTACCTAAAGAATAAAAAATAAAATTCTCAAAATATCTTAAATTTGAATTTTTTTTTAAATTTTAAATGAGATAGCTCTAAACATATTACTTCTATTTTTATTTCTTTTTAGTGTGAGTCAGGGTTTTCTTTATTTGCTAGTATAAAAACCAAATATTAATCAACAGTTGATGTAAAAAATATTTTAAAATGGATAATTTGATGTTAAACTAAGATTCAAAAATTATGTAACAGTGGAAAACTGAACAAATTAACAATTCATGATTTAAAATTTAATAACTTTTGATTTTTTCAATAAAACATTAATTATCTTAAGTTATTGACATATTTATTTTCACTTTTAATGTTCATAATGGAAAAAGCAGAAATCACAATTTTATTGCATAATCACAATATCAACATTGATATACTCCTGTTATAATGTGATGGAAATTGTATAACAGAAAAAAAGTGACTAATACTTTCTATTCAAAGAGACACTACAAATATTTCCTGATCTAATAAATGTAAAAAAAATATTTCTACATTTGATATACTAAACTAAAATCTTAAAAATGCACATGCAAATGAATAAGAATACTAAAACATTATCTTGAAATAGAAATAATAATAGGAATTAAATTGAATAGCCAATGAATATTCAATCTTATAAGTTCTATGAAACTAATTAATTCTACTACTAATAAAAATTTGTATAAACATTTTTTCATAGATTGAAAAATAGATATCATTTAGTTTTCATATGTGATGTAAAATTTTCTAAAATCATGGCCATAAATGATTCAATACTTGCAAATATACATAATCATTGCCTTTGAAATAAAGGTTTGTAAATTATTTTATAAAATTTTAAACTTCTACAATAATTCAATAAACAGGTTAAATAAAAAAAATTTGCTTTGTTGTATTACAATTTTTTTAATGTCAATAATTGTGTGTTTAAATTCCAGTTTTCTACTTTTGTATTAATAATTATTCCTGTTTACTTTTATTAATATTTCTTCTATGGCATTGTTCCTTTGTTTTCAAAAATAATTTTTACATCATCCCAAACAATCAATTTTATTTCTTTATTGCATAACGAGAAATAAAAATTAATAATAACAACAATAAAAGAAATGTTAAATTGTTTTAGATAGAATGAATGGAAAATTTAATATTTGAATGTTCTCAACTATTTATCAGGAAGAATCTAAGCAAAGAAAAACCAACAAAAAATATTAGTTTAGTAAAATAATAACAAGAAGCATTGCTGTAGAAAACAAAATATAAGCTTTAGAATGAATAAGAAAAAAATTAATGTAAAACAAAATTATTAAAATTAAATTCTGAATTATTAAATTATTGTTACTCATTCTCCTGATTCTTTAGTAGCAAGCATAAATTTTGCTAGAGGAAACTAATTGTACAGGGGGAACACCAGTAATTGACTATACAAACTTTATTATACAAGGAAATTCATTTCAGGTCTTCTACTCCCCTTCAGTTCTTTATTACAGAGCTATTTAATTAAACCACAAATGCTATATAATTCTCACACAATACTGAATGCAATAATACATTTTTTGAAAATTTAAATACAGAATTACCTTTGACCATTTTTTAAATATATCAGTGACCACTGGATGAATGAACTTTGTATTAATAAATTCTGTGTGTAGCGTCTTTGCAATCCAAACAATAATTTTGGTAGATGATCAAACAGCAATTAGTTAGAAAACGTTACAGTTTATTTAAAACACTTTTTTAATTCAGATGTATTTTGGGTTGGCTTGTATTCCCAACCACTCTTCAGTGCTGTTAAAATTACAAAAAACAAGGTGAGTTTCACAACATTGGTAAGTAGGACATAAACAAAAACGAGGGGTGACAATAACATAAAAAACTTACGTGTTATATAATCGTACAGTTTGGCACCATCTTTGACCAACAAAATATCTCACAATATCCATTATGACATTAATAAACAACATAACAACAAACTAAACATTCTTAAAACTGTAGGAACTGTTTACAAACTTGAATGCAACTGTCAAAATCCGAAAACTTTGGCGAAACAGGGCAGTTACTAGAAACAAGAATTAAAGAACATGAAGCTGCCATCTGCCTAAAACATAACACTTCACCATGGTACTACCACACAAGTGACAATAATTGCCAAATTAATAAAAACAATATAAAAGTGTTACATTTAGAAAAGGAAATTTAAAAAACACACAGAAATCAAAAAACACCCTAAAGATAACTTAAT